ACCAAATCTATCACGTAATTTAACCAAAATCGTAGAAAGTAATACATGCGTATTTGTTTGAACATTGAAAGCTTGATGAAATGAATTACTAGTGTTTGTTGTAACTAAATTCGAGGTAGGTCCATGATTGGCACTACTTGATTCTGGATTAATGTCATGTAAATTACGTGTACCTGTTCGGTCCATATGTAAACAAGTATTGTGCCTGCGACCACACCTTCTACAGTTACTAGATTTACAATCGATAGATTTATGACCTGGCTTAAGGCAATTAATACAAAGCCCCTTAGCTTTGACAAACTCCAGGCGATTTGCTGGCGCCAAATGTATTAGTTCCTTACAATTGTAAGTAGGATGAGTGCCCTTACAGATGGTACATGTTGTATTTGAGACGTAAAAATTCTTAGAGGTAGTTTTAATGGATTTAAAGTTATTTTTATTAGAGGTAGATTTATGACCTAAAGAATCTAGCAAATCGCACTTGTTGAGTAAGAATGTTTTTAAGTCATTAATTGTAGTTGCAGGTCGCTCTGCTTTGTATTCTTCCCAAGCCCTAAATGTTTTTTCATCGAATTTACGAGAAATGAGATAGACCACTAATGTGTCCCAGTGTTCAGTAGGCTGACCTAATAATTTTAACGCACGCAGATTTTTATTCATGCCATCAAGAACCTTTCTTAATAAATAGGCTGATTCATTTTGAGGAGGTTGCAAATTACAAAGAGCTTCTACGTGTGAATCAATGAGACGCCTATTATTATTAAAGCGATCGCAGATTAAATCCCAAGCTAGGGTATAATTATCAGCTGTAAACGCTATACCTTCTATTATTTCCTTAGGTGTTTTTAAAACTGATGATTTTAAATAGTGGAATTTTTCAATGGGATCTAGTTTAGAATTATTATTAATTAATGAGTTAAAGGTTTCACGATACTCTAACCAGTCTAGCAAAGTACCGTCGAATATAGGCAATGGAATCGTTGGCAATTTCAAAAAACTTGACCGCGTACTACTTAGATCAAATACGTTTGAGCCCGGCGGTTCGCCGTTGCTACTGCTATCACTAGGTAAAATTTGTTTGGGACTATGTACGAGAACGATTTCTTGTGATCGGCTATATAAATCAAGGTAAGTGCTATCGATATCGGCTCGGTACGCATATTGCTCGGGGAGGTTATCGTCCCCAATTACTAATTGCTCAATTTCATCCTGAATTTGTTCAAACTCAGAAAATGCCGTTGTTATGCGCTTTAATGTTTCTTTAACAGCGGCTATAGTGCCTTCCGATAACGCGATGCTACCTGTATCAGTAGCAGTAGAAATTCTATTTTTCAGTTCATCTTCCACTGATTTTAAATATTTCGAAAAGTTCGTAAATTTAGTTTTGAGACTACCGCGTTTTCGCGTTAAGTTACTTAACTCTGACATGTTGATTGCGAATCAATACTGACTTATGTAAAGGAAATAAGTATGTAAAGGAAGGTACTCACTTTCTGACTCGTATGGGATATCCTGTACGACGATGATGTTTTATTCCAATGCGTATGTGTAGATGCAGTGCTGCACTTAGCACTCGATGTGTATGATATATTTCACGTATTATATGAAATAAATGTACGCTGCACTTAGCACTTGATGTGTATGATGTATTCCACGTATGATACGAAATGAATGTTCGCTGCACTTAGCACTTGATGTTTATGATGTATTTTACGTATTATTTGAAATTAATGTTCGCTGCACTTAAAACTCGTTGTGTATGTATGCGAAGTTTGCTTTGGATATGTATATATCCGGCTCGAAGGACCAATGTAAAGTTGTTTGTTTTGTGATACTTAGTAGAAAGGAATTGAAGACGAAGTATGTAAACTTAACTCTTTATTCAGTTAACTGCTGAATAATACAATGACTTAAATGGTAGCTTAATTATTTAACAATGTTCCTTTCTAGAGCGGCTACAGTAGCCTGACTAACTATATTAGAAGAAATCATCCCTCGGTAAGCCCTTGGGGGAGGAGCTTTAAGTGGCGCATGCCGCTTGAGGCGCTTAAGGCACTTATACTTTGAATTTACAAACATTGAGTATAGAGCTGGAATCAAAATGCAACACGCTTTGAGCAGAAATCAATTTGAATTTTAGCGTTGTATTGAAATAAATTTGGAGACCATGAATGAAACTGACTGGTTTTTGTCGGTGCAATTGCATGATATTGGTCATCCAGGAGTCGATAAATGTGCAGAATTGGTAAAAAAGGAGTATTGGTTTCCCCCGTGCATACGATGTGCATTTTCAAAAGGTGACTATGGAAAAGGAGAAGGATATTTGCATCCAATAGACAGGAGGACAGTGCCTTTTGACACTGTGCATATCGATATTTGGGCCCATTTATGAAGAGCACTAGGAAATATTCCTACTTGTTGATGTTGGTGGATGGATTCTCGAAATTTGTCATAGCAAAGCCAACTAGAATAGTCAATTCAAATAAAACCATTGAGAAACTGATGGAGATATTTGATGAATTTGGATATCCAAGGAGAGTTATTAGTGACAGAGTACTAGTTATTAGTGACAGAGTACTAGCAAACAATTTAAAGCATTTCTGGAGGAAAAATGTGCGCGACACGTTTTAAATGCTATTGAAACTCCTCGGGTAAATGGGCAAGTGTCTCTAGTGAAGCTAGATGGGACCAGAAATTACCAGAGATTGTATGGGAATTAAACAATACAATAAACAGGAGTAGGAAATTCGCACCTAGTGAATGAATGTTTGCACATGGAGAAAGTCGTGGTTTAGTTGTTGAATTGGAGACTGGAGAGCGCGCTAATGTTGGAAAAGGAGAACAGGCAAAGGAAGGTGGTAAAACTGCAGCGACCACAAGAAAATCAGGAGATGCTGGAGAGGAGAACCTGTCGGGTGCTGGAGGTAGCAAGGAGACTATAGGAGGCAAATCAACTAACACCCAAAACCTTCGAGATGACGATCTCGCACGAGCTGTAGATTTGCGACAACCACTAACACGAAAGAAACAAAATTCTGCTCATAAGATGAAAACTGCTCATGACAAACGACGAAAAGTAGCTAAATACAAAATTGGTGATTTGGTATTATGGAGGCATGGAGCTACGAATAAATGTCAAAAGGGCCTAAATCGCAAGCTTGCATATAAATATGATGGACCTTTCAGGGTGTGCAAGGTAATCAGCAATGACTGATATGTCATGGAAGCCATAAAAGGAGTAAGAGGCTACAAAAGGTTCAAAGCGCAAGTCGCAGTGTATGCACTGCGTCCATACAATAGTGTGAATGATAATGAGCGATTGTGAGAGCGAGTCTGAGTGAATGTGGGGCCCCCTAGAAAGAATGTGTGCGAGAATGTTGTATTTAATGATTTTTGTATTACTAATAAACTCTCTTTCCCTTTCAGCTACAAACAAAAAGAGATTATAGCTGTAAAGGTACTCGCAGGTATTAAATTGATGATTGACAATTGAGTAGGAGAAATTGTCTTGAGAACAAAATAGGAGTAACTTACGGAGCCCAGTAGCACCTAAAATCGGAGACTTCTACAAATATTTAGGTAACACAGGTGGTGGTATAATGAGGACATTATTATTTTGCAGGATGGCCGAAATGTTAGACGTAAATTTAAAAAGCCGTACTAGGCTAGGTGGCCACTGGAGGGCGCAACTACACTGGGATGGTTAATGTGGGAGCTGCCGTCCATACGGAGTAGAATAAGAGAAGAACGTTTCAGTGACTTTTAAAAAGGTTGTTTTTTTTTAAGTTTGAAATAAATCCAAAACAGTTTACCGGTCTTATTATTCAAAATACCTGACAACAATAGTTAAGACTGCCAACCTAAGAGATAAGTGTTTTGTCATTGAAGTTAATTTTTCTGAAATTGTTTTCTGTTTTTTTTTAATTTAATTCCGTTAAGTAAATAATGTTTAAAATCGTATTTATGTAAGTATACTAGGGTGTTTCATTTAAAACGAATTTTGTTTTTGGGTTGAAAAAAAATTCCCAGAAAATTTGAGCCCATAATTTTGATTTTAAGTACTTCCTTTTTAATTTTGTAGTTTTTCCATATAAAAAGCATGTATTTTTAATCATTTTTACTTTAAATTTCTATATGTTGGCCGGGTTTTGAATTATAATTTTTATCACCATAATTTTCTGCATAGTATTCACGGTTTTTGAAAGGCCCTGCATTAATTTTGTTTTTGATTTATTTACGTTGATTGTAGTAGCTCCAAAAGTAGTTTTTTTCACTTTATTTCACATATTTTTGAGAAAATCGTGCGAATGACTGGTTTTACCGAAAAAGTTCAAATAAAAAAGTTGTAGAAAATTTAATTTTTGAAAAAAAAGGTTCTCACGTTTATATCACTAAAGTGCTTTGTTTAAGAGATATAAGCAATATATAGTTGTTGAATCAAATTACATACATGTATAAATAAATTTCAATAAAACCTATTTTTTCTTTGTTTTTGGTTATTGAATTGCTTATATCTCTTAAACAAAGCACTTTAGTGATATGAACGTAAGAACCTTTTTGTCAAAAATTAAATTTCCTACAACTTTTTCGGTAAAACCAGTCATTCGCTCGATTTTCTCAAAAATATGTGAGAGAAAGTGAAAAAAACGACTTTTGGAGCTACTACAATCAACGTAAATAAATAAAAAACAAAATTGATGCATTGCCTTTTAAAAACCGTGAATACTATGCAGGAAATTAAGGTGGTAAAAATTATAATTCAAAACCCGGCCAAAATATAGAAATTTAAAGTAAAAATGATTAAAAATACATGCTTTTTATATGGAAAAACTACAAAATTAAAAAGGAAGTACTTAGAATAAAAGTTAAGGGCTCAAATTTTCAGGGAATTTTTTTTTCAACCTAAAAAAAAAATTTGTCAGCAAGAAAAAAATTTTTTCCTTTTAAATGAAACACCCTAAAGTATACTATATAATATGTAAAAAAAGATAGGTACTTACGATGTGGGATGCGTAATATTCCGGTGCTGATAAGGATCATAGTCACCCGCTTCGACGTCATTATTCGGATTTCCGAGAACTAAGGGTACCGTGGATCCATTGGTTGATTGGGCCGGTACATCGTGTTTTTGACTTTTATAGCTGCAAATAAATCGAATTAGCATGTGTTTCGGACTTGCAAGCCATGTTAGTAAATTATGGGCAATGTTAAAATCTGTTATTAGTTACCAAAGTTCAGAAAAATAATACTCATTTATTTTACTTTATTATTTTTGTACTGAAATACTTTCAGGAGTTGTGATGGAAGTGATTTTTTTTGTATTAGGATCAAAATGCCACATTTTTGACTACTTTTACGCACGGCATTAAATGTCATTTTAAAAACGAGTTTAAATTAAAACAGAACAATATGGAAATAAATTGATATGACGTTAAATTTTAGATATTGCTTATATTGAACTTGATATCGAATTTTCAAATTATTAGATGATGTAATTTTGTTAAATATAAATGACATTTAAGATCGTGTTTTAAATTAATGAAAATTAAATGAGCTGATATTTGAAATTGTTTTAATAAAAACTGGAAAATTCAATTCAATGAAATAAAATCTTGGAATACATGAAGGTTTTCAAGAATAGAAGAATAAATGGTCGGCGAATCTATAAAAACAGCGTTGAAGACTTCATTTCGTAAACGTTCTTACAGATTTAAGGGTGTGCGGATCTAAAAAAACCTTAATGTATTTTTAAGATTTTTGTGGCATTTTTAAGGAGGGATAATTATGAGATGGATATGCTCGTGTGAAATGGGTGTGTTGAATGTGTAAAAAATTAATAAAAAAATAATTACGTTCAGCAACTGAAGAAAGGAATAAAACTTGTATAGTAAACATACATTGTTCTGAACAAAAGAGGTACTTTTTGATAAAATTTATAAGTAAATGTAATTGTACCGTTGATCGTCCTATGTTATCCGCTCGGCTCTTCATTTGTTTTTCCACACATCGCGACTAAAATATCAGCGATGGCGGCGAGACACTCCGTCACGACGTCATTTCTTCACACATCTCCCGGCAATTGCCAATTGCCAAAAATCTTACAAAACTTACAAAATATAATCAAAACAACACTTTTTTAAACCATGTATAAATGCTGAACAGCCCTAGTTATTAATAATATTCAATCAATCCACACGAATGTCTTGTTTCTTCGATAATATCGCTAATCTGGCTACGTGATTAAGTATGGCTTAAATCTAATGCAGAATGTGATTAGTATTGACCTTAAAGATCGGTTGGTATTGCACACAGAAAAAATATGACAAGGTACAATTCGCTAAATAAAAATTAATTGGGAAATGTTATTATGTTATTATAGTAAATAGTACCTTGCCAAATACAAAAAGGAAAAAAGCATCCTAACAGTAAATTCCGGCAAATATACATGGTTTTTCAATATATAAATATAATAAACAATAATTAAAATAATAATAAACAAAATCATATGTTTCAAAAGTCCAATCACCCAATTACTAGATATTTTTAAGATATATTTTGCATTTTTCTTGTCAATTAAAATTAACTAAATTAATAAATTTTTGAATACCTTCAATAAGAAGCATAGTGATGGTCGGTGAATGAATTGATAAAGTTATAGCTGACCGGAGCTTTAAGTACTTACTTAGTCATGACAACTTGTGTGTTTACGCCACCCTTTTTCTGGTCTACTTGAGCTATTAGTTGAGGCTGAAAATAAAGAAAAATAAAAATTAAGTAAATGCAAACTAAGTACCTAATAGTATCTAATATAATATAATATAATGTATTACCCTAAACTAAAATGCTCATTTTAGATTCTAAATTTACTATAAATACTACGGGCCACTTAAATTTGATAAGATTTATTTTTAACAAGTAAATTATCTCTATCTTATTGCCAGATTTTTTGATTAGATAATTTAAATCTATAATAAATATACTTAAAAATGTGTAACGCGAGGTGAAACCCAGTGCCGGCGTGAGGCATGTGCAAACGGTGCGGTTGCACCTGGCCCCGCGTTTTATAGGTGTCTTAACGAAATTATTGTACATTTTAGCAACATGGCAAGCTGTAAGCACACCGTGGCAAAATAATATCTGGTCATTGCCAGAGAAAATATTTATAGTAGGTATCGTCATCTATTATCATTCAGTTCAATGTTGCTAAAAGTGTATTTGAAGTTGCCTGTATCCGTTTAAAACAATTATTATTACGCCGGGAAAAGAGTTTTTCAAAATTAAAATTAATAAAAAAAATTAAGATCAAGAAGGTAGGTGCCAAGAACGACTAGTGGGTTTGGCTATATTGTCAATAGAGAAGGATGTTGGAAAAGAGCTTCCGCTAAAGCAGGGAAAAATTATGTGTGATTTGTTATTAAACGTTAATTTCTATATTAATGAAAGGGAAAAACTGAACCACCCAAGTGCATTTTTAAGTCAAAATTTTCTACTATCCGGTAACACGCTTAAAAAATTTTGACTTAAAAATGCACTTGGGCGGTTTCAGCTCTAATCCCTTTAATTGGTTTTTCGTTTGATGTTTTATTGGTTTATTGCCGCTAAGCGCTATGTTAATTTTCAAGAGTAAATTTTTAGTTCAAGCCCCGCATTTTTCTTTTGCACCTGGCCTCCAATAAGCTAACGCCGGCCCTGGTGCAACCCATTGTTCTATTTTGAGACTTTTAATTGCTAAGAGTTGCTCCTAAATATGAATAATTTAAATGATTCGTCGTTATGGAAAATTCCTTGCAAACGATACGATAAAAAGTGCATTAAATTGCAAAACAAACTGCCTATTCGAGTTATTTTATTAGTGCATGGTTCATTAAACGAAAACATAACAAAAAACGTTTATTTTTAATGCGCACTTTAAGGTCACAATCTATTATAACCAATCCATGCATAGTTCTGAAATACAAAGTAGTAGATACCTACATCTCACAAAATCGTATATAATCATAATATTTTTGTTGTCCCACACTCACTTATAATTGAGACATTATACGCTTGAAAACAATGGACAAAGTAAGCTATTGTTACACTAGTTGAACAATGAAAATATTGTACCACTAGTTTGACAATGAAAAAAAAGAAGACAACAATTGTTAATATTGTTGACAATTATTATAAACAATAAATTAAATTTTTTATACACAGTTGATACATAGGTACTTACAAAAATATGATTTAAAATGTTATTGTTCACATATTTGGAATTTAATTTTAAAGGTCGAAGATGCTACTGTGTAGCGAAACAATTGTCATATTTAAATAAAATAGTGAAACTTTTAAACAGTGTAGTTTATATTAAAATAAAACAATATTAACATGGAGTTTCATCAAGTAAAAGTCGAAACAATTAATTAAATAGGTAATCCCAAAAAACAAATACTTAGATACCTAATTGCATTTTTTTCACTATTAAATCATGGTTTTAGTGAGTCAGGTGCATAATGTCTTTTTAAAATAAAATTTTAAAGGCAAATAATCCCAAAAAACCCTTATTAGATTGTGGGATAAAATAATATGCATGTGCAAGTCGATTCTTGAGCCTGTTGTCTTCACTTGTTGCACAATATAGGTACAATTTTTTTTTCATTTTATATAACAAATTTTTATATTAACAAAAATGGTATTGGTTCAAACTGTCAAAAATATTAGTCCACATATTCTGGCACATGATATATTTTAAGGCAGCCGATTATATGACATATGTGTTTATTTAAAAACCAACAAATTAAAATTAATAAATATTGAACATCAAATTACAAATTAGAAGAAAAACAATGTTTCTTTTATGGTATTAATAAGTGGGATTTTGATATTTATTAATTTGCTCCTTGTTCACTTTTATATGGGAAAACAACAAAGTGCTTACAATATACAAATAAATACATGTTTGTGATTTATCTATGCATGCCTTAAGCCTTAAATGGTTTAGGAATACATAAAGGTGCAAAGGTAAATGAACTTACTTTTTTATTGACATAAAGGTACTTTTTTAGAGTTTGCAATAAGATTTTAAAAACATTTTTTTGTCTGACCAAAAGGAAACGAGATAAAACAATTCATTTTCTTTAAAGTGGATAAAGCGCCAAAAGGGGGGAACACGAAAATTTGACATTTTACCCTTTAGACCGCCAGGAATAACATATCCAAAATCCAGACAGTTCCAAACTTGTCGACATGATTTTTCGATATGTTCACTGTACTAGAAACAAAAAAGCTAATTTTTGAGGGCGCATAATTTTATTTTGTAGCATTTTAATGGGCGGCATGACCAACATGTTTGGTGACCCAAAATAACTATTACCCCATGTATATCCTATAGGGTTGGTCGAATTAATGGTTTCCAAAGGTTTTATCGTAACAATATTTTAGCCTGTTCTTAATTTTTGTTATTTAAATATTCCTAATCTAGAAAAATCTGGTTTATGAAATAAATACGTTTATGATACTGATAAAGTGTGGTACCTATATATATATGTTTATCATTTATAAATCAATATAGGTACATATGTAATATATATTATAGTACCTACTTACACTTAAACTTGGCTTATAGGTAGGTATATGATCTATATGATAATTAGTAAATTGCTTATCCATGACCCTAAGATCTGTAGTGGATTTCCCAGTTTTTTTACAATTTTTAGAAATACTACACATAAATTGTACGCAATGCGAAAATATTGTTGTTAAATAACTACCTATTCATTACACAAATGGCAATGGATAACGTTACCTTATCAGTTATATTTGTTTATCAGTTAGTTAAATATATTGGTAAAAGCATATGGAATAATAACTTATTTATATTAAATACTATTTTCCCTTCTAAAAAATGAGTAGGTTTACATGTTTTTTATTCTGATTTATTTTTAAGTAATAAATATTTATGTAAACTTTAAATATGCAAACATGCTGTGATTGGCAAAATTTTATTTTGTTTTTCAACCGCGCAGTTTTGCAAAAGAATTTTATTTACCTAAAGTAAATGTCTCATAAGTAGGTAGAATACAGGGTGTTTCAGTAGGAACATCCTGTTACATTTATAAAATATATTTTTCTTAGAATTAAAATATGTATCGGGTGGTCTTATAGCCGCTAGGGACACAAGTTTTCAGGTGCTTACTTTATACATATGTTGACTACAAATCTTTTTATTATATTGCTTTATAAAACATCATTACCAAGAAAAAAATTCTGTTATTCTGTTTCAGGTAGATTTGTAAAAAAATATTACAATTTCATCTCTTTTTTTTCGAAATCTGGGTAATATCTGGAAACCTGGTAATATGAAAAAATAATAGTTTTGTAATAGTATATTCTGTAACAAGTTTGGAATAGAGCATATTCCGCTCGAGTAAAGAGTTTGTCACACGAGCCGAAGGCGAGTTTGACGGTTTCACGAGAGCGAAATATGCAATTCCAAACTATACTTTTTCTTCGTTTCCAAAAAATACCATAGAAAAATAATTTAATTTAAATAAAGTGAGATTGGATAGGTCTAAAATTTGTTGAATATTAAAAACAGAGATGTCGCCACGAGTGTTTATTTTGTCATCCGATGATAGAATATTTCATTCGGTAACACTTTACGGAATATGTCATTCCATAGATAAAATTGATATTAGAATGGTCAAATTCCGTAATAGGAGTAGAAAAAAATCATTCTGTACTCAAAATAAAGTACATAAGTCGAACGATAGGGTGGGTGGGTATTGTCAGTACAAAATGCCACATGGCAACCATACGAATTTTAGAAAATACATTTCATTGTATTATTACTTTTAATATGCTTGAAAAGTACTGTTCCGCCTCATCAGATCGCTGAATACAGATACGGGGGGTAATCCAAATTTAGTATCGTGCAGTATTTTATTTTGTAAACTTTATTTTAGGTATAAAAATACTATTGAAAACGTTATTTCTTAAATTAAAAGCACAATTTCCATATTAATAAATAAAATGTATGAAAATTTCTAAAGAAGTAACAAATTGTTATTTTAAGTATTAAATCCTTATTTGTTAACAACTTTTTAATCGTGATTACCTATAGCTATAAAATAAGAATTAAATATTCGTAGTGCTTGAGTGATTTTTAAACATTTTTATTTTGTCCACCCCAAATCTTTCTGATTTTTATTATATTAAGAAGTTCATTAGTATTCATGAGGTGGTTTATTAACTTTGGTTAATAAAATACGACGATTTAATTTTTTGTTGCTCTAGGAACTTCACATGTGGGCTCACACTCAGCGATCTAGCTTCTCTGCCATCTATGTTGGGGTTACTTTTAACCCCCGATAGTAGATATGTTGTTTAAAATGAGCAATACTACTTACGGGCTAACACATTTAAAGTCCAAAGAAAAAAAACATCACAGGTAAATTTGATTTTAAATTTATATGATATAAAAAAGTAAAAATGTCAGTAGAGTATCTACAAATATTTTGTACAAGATTGACTTAAAGTTTAAGTCTTAAACACTCTGTATCTATCTATCTCTGTTACTATACTTACTTATTAACCATATTTTAAAAAAATTTCGGATCTTAATACATACTTATTTTATTATGATTAATGAGTTTTTAAACAAAAGTTTATTTCTGTAGGTACCCCAGAGCCAAACTTTTAATTTAATATTTCGTTATTTCCAGTGACCCACCATATGCGGAAAGATTATCGACTATCTAGGAAATAAA